TTAGATGAAGAACGGTTTTAATAGCCACTCGTTCATAAAAGCATAATACCACAATAATTGTATATCCAATGAGTTTTATAACCATACTAAACATAATATGCCTGTAGCGACGTTCTTCAGGCGTCGCAACGTTATGACAACTGTCACCCCAAAAGACGGACTGTAGCTAACAGTCAGGGCGCGGGATCATGACTTCCCGTATAGATCTATACACATTTGACACGTTCTCCGAACGGGAGACTCTGGTTATAGACAGGACTTGCAACATTACTTTCTAATAAAGAAAAGTAACGTTTGAAGATATACACGTCTCATGGATTCTCAACTAAGCCTGTATTAAAGTGATAGTTTTTGTATGCAAAGTTTATCCTTTTTCCCAATGTTTAACAAAGCATAAATCATAAGTTTTTAAAATGTATAAAACGACTTAACAATGAAAGGTACTTTGAAATCATTATATACTTTGCATAAGTCTAATGCACACAAAGTATGTCAAGAGTTTTCCATAATAGTAATGAGTTCCAAGTGATTTATTTGGTAAAACAAGCGAAGTGAAACTTTATAAAATACACGATAATAACCGTATGTTTACTTGTATTCCCACCCTAAAAGAGTATAAAAGCATTTAAAATGTATTTAAAGTGTGTTTGAAAGGGGTATGAACTCACTTGAAAGTTTGAAGATAGCAAGATGGAAAACCGGGCAGAGTTTCGTCTCGGGAAATGGATTTTCCTCGGGATTCTCGGGATTTTTCGGGAGTAAAATCGACCTTCGGGACTTGCACAAAATGACCAGGGCTTCGGGGTAGTGCGAGCACCGAAAACGAGGTAAAACGCAAGAAAAAGGAGAGTGAATGAGCAATTTTTCCGGAATACCTCGCATCCCTTTTATAGGGGGCTGAGAGGCATGCGTACGCGGGGCGTACTCCCGTACACGACGCGTACGGGACGTCACTACTGACCGCATCCTCGGCTGCAACGCTTCGGACGGGACGGGGAGGGGGTAGCTTGCATAGGGGCGATGTGGACGATCCGAGGCCGTGGCCTCGAGTACGCGGGGCGTACGAGGGTACGCGGCGCGTACTACGGCCCTAGGCTGACTCCCCTCGGATAATACCGAATTTTTAATACAAATTATATATAAATTATTTATCAAACTTCAAAAATTCATATCTCCTTCATACGAACTCCGTTTTCGACGTTCTTTATATCCCCGCGAAGGCGAGACTACGATCTACAACTTTCATTTAGATTCCGTTGGCAAATTCCAAAATTATTTTTATTATTTATTTATTAAGATGACGTGATTAAAGAATTTCTTTAAAAATTCATAACTTTTTTATACGATGTCCGATTTGAGCGTTCTTTTTATGCATGTTTGTAGTTTAACGATATCTATGACTTTCATTTAGACACCTAAGGTCAGAAAGTGTTTTATTGAAACTTTGCGTTTTTACCTAACTTCATATTGCCGATGTTTGTCGGAAAACTTAGAATGGTCATAACTTCTTCGTTATAACTCGGATTTTTGTGTTATTTATATGTTTGGAGACCTTAAGACGATACCTACCACATAGCGTACTCCAAATAGAGTTTTTGAATACTTCATTTTTTTTGATGATATTCTAATTCCTTTCTCAAAGAGGTTACAGGACTCGATTTTTACTGACTTGAAATGACGGGCTGTTACAATAGTTAACTTGTTTGCACTCTAACTGTTTGATAAAATGCATAAACTAAATTACCACATTATATTCACATATGAATATGTTTTCTCACCTGAATCAGTATATGATTATTAAAAACACAAAACAAATATGCAAGTATGTATGTTATTCATATGTGAATAACATATAAAAATTATATATATTTGTCAAAATACCTTCAATATTCATAAGTGAATATACCTTGTAATATTCATATGTGAATATACTGTGTAATATTCATAAGTGAATATATCATCTAATATTCACAAGTGAATATACTCTGTAATATTCACATGTGATATACCATGTAATACTATGTAATATTCACATATGAAATATCATTTAATACTCAAAAGTGAATATACCATCTAATATTCACAAGTGAATATACTATGTTAATATTCACAAGTGAATTCATCGTCTAAATATTAAAATATGAATATACTGTGTTTATTATATGTTATATTCATATATGAATGATACTTAAATTGTAAAAAAAAATCATACTTTTTATTCATAAGTGAATAGCGAATGTACTGTAATAAAACCTGATGCATTGTTATTCATTTATGAATAACGATAGTTGAAAATATAAAATATATATATATATATATATATATATATATATATATATATATATATTTTATCTTAAAACTATATCAATATAGATGTCTATTTGTAGAGAATAAAAAATCATGAATTTTGGTATATTTAAAATCATTTTTTGATAAAAATAGCTTATAAAAATTAAAAAAAAAAAAAAACTATGTTTTTGTATATATTAAGGTAATGATTAGTATACTTTTAAGGAAATATGTTATGCTGGAAAACACATGTGCATTCGTTTTCATTTCCGCCGGTGCATTGGAGCCTTTTGCGGCAAAAATAAATGATTGGCTGAGAATAATTCCCCCATTCTCAACATTTTTTTTCTCAATTGAACCCTCCCCTATATATATATATAATCTGTTCGAATCTTTTTTATATTAATTGCACATATTCAAAAATACAATACTTATTGTGGATAATCCTTTTAATTATTAACAATATGGTGTAATGATTTATTAATTGTTTCGATAAAGCATTTGACTCGATTAATTGGGAATATTTGGATTCAATTTTTGCTCAAATGGAATTTGAGAATAAGTGGAGATCTTGGATATTTGGCTGCTTATCATCTTCTCATGCTTCTGTATTGATAAATAGTACCCTAACTAAAGAGTTCAGGATTACAAAGGGTGTTAGGCAAGGTGAACCATTATCACATTTTCTATTCATTATTGTGATGGAGGGTCTCAATGTGGCGTTAAAGACGGCATGGGACAAAAACTTATTTAAAGGCGTGAAAATACCTGGTAATGGTCCATCTATATCCCATCTTTTTTATGCAGACGACACTTTATTTGTGGGGGAATGGTTTCGTTCCAATCTCAAAAATCTTGCAAGTATACTCAAATGCTTTCATGTTACATCGGGTCTTAAGGTTAACTTCCACAAATCCAAAGTTTATGGTATTGGAGCTCCTACGTCCGAAATCAATTAATGAGTCGGTCTCCTGGGATGTGAGGCAGACTCGTTTCCATTCATCTACCTTAGGGTTCCTGTTTGTGCAAACTTAAACCTAAAAAAGAATTGGAATCCTATTATTCAAAATTTCAAGCTAAGCTTTCTAAATGGAAAGCTAAAACCTTATCATTTGAGGGACGTTTAACACTCATCAAATCCATGTTGGGAATCTCCCAACGTATTACTTCTCACTCTTTAAAGCACCTGCTGGAGTTATTGACACGCTCGAGAAATTGAGAAGGAAATTATTGTGGGGCGGAAATGAAGAAAAGAAAAAAGATACACTGGGTGTCATGGGAGAAAGTTATTGCTTCTAAAGAGAATGGTGGTCTGGGATTTGGTTCCATTAGAGCACTCAATATAGCACTTTTGGTAAAATGGTGGTGGAGGTTGAAAAATGAATCTTCGTCCTTATGGTCTAAGGTTATTTCTGGAATTCACAATCTATCTAACAAACCGGTTGATTACTTGTCAAAGAAAAAGATCCCCGATGTATGGAACAATATGTCAGGTATCAAGAAAGACATTGAAGATTTGGGTTTTGGCTTTGATGATATATCTCAGCAGGTGATTAAATCATGGGATAATATCCAGTTTTGGCAAGATTTTTGGATTGGGCTCTGTAAATTAAAGCTTGCATTCCCATCACTTTATGAACTCGAATCACAGAAGCGAAGTATGGTGAACACTAGGATACTTACAGACAGAATCAATTGGGGATGGCTCTCTTGTCAATTTAGTGCGAGACACACTACTGAGTTAGAAAATTTAGTAGATATCATTGCACCTACTCATTTGCAATCGGGTCTAGATGGTATAAAATGTAAGTTGAAACCTGAAGGAACTTACAAGGTTAATATATTCAGGAAAAAAATAGATCAAATGTTATATCCTCCTAATCAACAAGTAATAGTAAAATGGAGTAAAATGATCCCCATTAAGGTAACTTGTTTTGTATGGAGAGCTCTACAAGGGTGGATCCCCTCAGCGATTGCACTATCCCACAGAGGACTTAATCTTGACTCAACTTTATGTGGATCATGCATTGGTGAGTCTGAGTGTGCCAATCACATCCTTGTTAGTTGCCCATTTGTTGTACTGTTATGTGAGAAGATCTTTAAGTGGTGTGGAATGGATCCGCTAGACGCACACGAAGTGAGAGACATTGTGGATTTTGCTACAAAATGGGGATGCAATACTAAAAAACAAAAAATATTCATTACTATTTGTTACAGTTTGCTTTGGGTGCTTAGGAAAGCTAGAAATTGTTAGGAATTAAATCCATTAAGATTGATTAGATTCAAACAGGTAAAGCAAGAACACAATGATAATCAAATGAATGATGAATGATTAAACGTCACACCTCAGATGAACTCGATGAAGAATTTCAACTGTAGAGGCGTGTTAGGGTTACAGTGTAAAAGATAAGAGTTTTTTTTTTAATACGATGCATGCATGAACCTTAAATACTCTAACCCTGGAATAAATAACGAGTGGACAGGCCCAACTCGATAATACAAACAACTAAGCAAAAGGCCCAATGACGCAACATTAAATACCCAACAATCTCCCCATTTGCGTCAATTGAGGCACGAACCCATTAGCCTTGGATTCGTTTTTGAACTTCGTAGACTTTGGGAATGATGCCAAAAATTGCCTGTTGAACTTATATGTACCACAAAATCATATCAAAAAAGCATTTGACGTTATCCTTATTGTTGCCCTTGAATCACTTCACCATGTCCAATATATGCTCAAGAAATTTAGTAGTGAACAAATGTTTTTCAGAAAGGAAGAAACAACCTCTACGATAGTCTGCATCGGTTTGATCCCTAGCCTGATACACCACATACCATTCCTTGCTATAGATCTTCCCTTGCTTTAGCTTCTCAAAATCTTTTGGAGATTCCTTGAGAATAGTAGTAGGCTTCTTTCGTAACACCGCTACAACCTCTATGTTTATTTCCCCGATCTCTTAGATGTAAGACTTGATCATTATTTGAAGATGTGACATGACAGGTTCGTATTTGTCTTTTTCTTTCAGCAGCAAATTGTAAAGAACGAACCAGTCATTTGGGTTGAGACAAGGCAAGTCAGCAAGGGTAAACTCGTAGCACTCACTGTTGAATCTCTAGCAACTTTGAACTTCGCGTTCGGAAAGTTGTTAGTCTCGAGAGCCCTATGACTTTCACACCAGTGATCTTGCTTAACGACCAAGTCTTGTATTGCGGATTTATATGCTTTAAATAAAACGAGAATAGCATATGATCAGCCCCACTGTTAGTGTATGGAGCGTTCGCCACTTTCACAAAGGAACGAAACCTGAAAGCCTTAGTAGTGACTAGGAGATCCAATTGTGAATCTTGTATATTTTGAAGATCAAAAGACACAACTGGTTCTAACCAATATTGGCTGGGTAAATCGACTGCATCATTTTGGATTCTCTTCATGGTCCATGCAGGAAACAGAAGCTTCTTACTTTGAAGAGTTGCATGTGCCTCTTTCTCAACCATTTCTTTTTTTCAACCTCACAGATGATTCACTGGTGCTCATCCATTTCGGCTTCCTTCTTTTTAGCTCTTCTTCATCAGGCTCTTCTTCATTGTCATCATCAATAATAGGCTTATCACTGAATAATTTTTCTTTGAGCTTAGGTTCTTTCTTGACAACAGGGGGAAATGGAGCATTGAATTCTTTTTTTCGTGATTCACCAGACATACGTTTTCCCCTTGGTTTCTGATTAATTCTTTGATCTGAAACACCTTCAAGGCGGTGAAGCATTACGAAGACTGTCCTTAACTTTTTCCAGATGCTTGCGCATTGTGATGGTGATCATAGAGTCCCTGGTCTCAATGATATCCGAGAGCATGCCAGTAACATCAGTGATACAACTTCACATGACTGCCCTCTCAAATAACAAATCATTGACCTGTTTCTCCGAAGTATTCAGCTTGACACTTAACTCCTTGACTTATTTGGTCTTGATAGCAAGAGAGTCCTTGATATCATTCTCCTTTGACATTTGTTCTTGAAGCTTTAGGATTTTAGACGAAATGGAGGTATGAAATGCTTCATGGTCAGTTTTCAGACCAATGCAAATCTCTTGCAACTTCGTCTTCTCGGTTTTGAAGAGATATCCCAAACTCTTCAAAGCTTTATTTGCTGCAGTGGTAATTGAGTTGAAATTGGTTTGGAAGTTTTCCATGAAAGTAGTAGCGTCAGCAATTAGTTTATCGACTTTTTCGGTCGTTGTTTTACAAACCTCAATAGAATCAGCAACAACCTTGTTCATCTTGTCTACATTGGTTGTATGCTCCTTGGAGATTCGTTCAAAGAGTGACTTAATAGCAGCTTTAGCATATTCATCAGAAGAGGAAGCCTTGGCTTAATAGCAGCTTTAGCATATTCATTAGAAGAGGAAGCCTTGGCAGAGAGAATTAATTTGTCAATCTTATCATGAAGGGATTGAAGTTTCCCTTTCGTAACCTACACCTCATCGTCACTTACAGTTCGGATCTGAAAAGGATTGTAAGTAAAACCCCCAAGATCTTCATCTTCATCATCATCGAAGACCATATCTAGGTCATTTCGGTTAATAAGGGAAATGGGAAGTGAAACATGAGTTGATAAACCTAAAGTTATAGCCCCTGTATTAGATACGTTGGATGAAACAAAAGGTAGGGTAGGGGTGGTGAGAGGAACTGTTGAATCAGTGAACAATGGGATGGAGAGAGGAATAGTGGTTTGTTGTTGTGTAGAAACTGGTGGAAGGCATGGAGAAATTGTTATTGGGATAGAGGTAGTTTTAGGTGAAGGAAGTGGAGAAGGAACAAAGTCATTAGAAGGTTGAGTTACCTCAGGATTGGATGTGTTCAATGTATTGTGAAGAGTTTCTTCCTCGTTACGAACATCTTCATTATGATCCTCCTCATGACGAACAGGATTGTCCTCCATAGACCAAACATCAGACTGAGTGTCTGACTCTGAACCTTCACTTGCACTTGGTGTTGGGGTCTTTCTCTTACGATCATGTTGTTTTCGCCTTTTAGGTGGAGCTGCAGAAGGAGCAGCTTTTGCCTTTTACTTCTTTGGAGTAGCAGCTGGCTTAGAGGGACCCTCTTTCGGTTGATTTTGCTTACCTCCCTTTTTCACCTTGTCAGCTTCATCAATAGTCAAGCGCATCTCAGGACTACTAGTGCGAGCTCCTGAAGATGGAATCTTTTTGTATTCCTCCAAAATCTTGCTTGCAACTGGAACACAACGAAACATGGTCTCTGGAATGGAACCAACAAAAGTGAACTTCGAGTTGTCAGAAATAATGATCTTGGTTGTGTGAAAAGTAGCAATCGAAGACTTTAAGGAATCCTTCATCATCAGAATTTGGTATTTGTCGATTTCCCATTGAACAACAATAGTCCAGAAACAAGCACAGGAAATCCCATTGTGTCGAGTTGTGGAGTGACTACTTTGCACCAGTTGAGCCCACAGAACAGTGCCATAATTAAGGTTGATGTCGTAGTGAAGACCATACATCAAGGTCATAAACAACTTACTAGCACAATTTAAACATGTGACTCCTTTAGAAAAAACTTTAAAGAGAAGAGTAAACAGACCATTCCATTGAGGAGGTAAGTTGGGTTTCTTGAACTTTGGGATTGATGGAATGAGATCTTTATACCCCATCTCATAGAACATCTCGAGAATAGCTGCAATGGAGATTGTGTCTGGATTCACCATTGATTCATCAGAAGTAAGACCTAGTAGATAACAAAACCTTGCCTTGGTGATAGAGGTTTTCTTGTTAGAGATTTCATAGGTGATGCGTTCTTCTTCCTTGATGTACGATGTAGAAGAATAAGCCTTTGAGAGTAGAGACATTGAAACACACTCAGATTTAGTTAAAGCAGTGACCAGAGGGGAATACTTCAAGCATTCGATGATAGGCATCATGTATGAATCGTACTTGAATGGAGATAAATCAAGAATCAAGTTTTGATTCTATTTGATAGAAAGCAGTGAGGAGTGTGCAGTTTGATCATGCACTGATGAAGAACCAACCATTGTTGCATATTGATGAAGAAGAAGAACAATAGAGAGATATCGTTGTTAGGGTTCTTGATAGAATTTGTGAGTGGTAAAAGGTAAGGTTGTGAATCAAAAATCATTTTATACGATTACGTAGGAAAGAGAAGTTGAACATCAATTGAGTGATTTCCTTTGAAATGACACCTGAAAAAATGGGATTTGACAACTATAGCCCCAATAAAGGTGTCAGGAGGCGTGATAAGTGGAAGCGTTTAAATTCCACCCACCTAAAATTTCAAAATTTTATCCACCAACATTTGCGTCATCATTATCGTGTTCTCATCTTTTCAATCTCCATTCATTTTAGTGAATATCCACACGGCTGTTCGCATTTGAAACAAAAGGTAATTTGTGTGAATCGCCTGAGCATTATAGAATCTGCGAAACTGAAAATGCCATAAGTACTTCAAGCAAGACTTTAGGAAAATCAAAAAAGATTTTCGTGCGATAGTGTGCCAAAGAAAAGAAATAAAGCAAGATATATTTGTGGTATATTAGTGGTGTCTTAAAAGACATGAAACAGTAGATCCCGGGCAACGATCTCTTCCTTCAAAATCAAGAGAGAATGTGAAGTGTTTGTGTGGTTTCCCGTTGAAATACGGTCGAATGTTTGACAAGAAACATTGAAATGCATCTTTTCATTCGGCTCAATGGGTGACGAACTCTCCAACCAACCAACAAAATTGACATAAGAATGAATGTTGGGTGAAGTACTCGTGTGAGCAGAGTAGTCAGTTGAACGAGTAGGATTGGAATTATTTGAGTGACTAAGCGAAACTTTGAAATCTCGAAAAAAAAAAGAAAAACTGGATCTTATGGGAAGAAGTGACTTGGTACAAGAACACTTCATAAAGATCTCGTAACAGAAAAAGAGATTTCTTTGTACAAACCACGAAGGTGGCTTTCGTTAATTCCATGGTGAAAAACTAGAACATTTAAGTGTTGACCGTCAATTCATGTTAGTGTGTTGGATTTTGGATTTCACTCAGTTCGTGGTGAACGAAGCTAAGATCATGAACTTAGAAGTTGTGTAACCATAAACCTCAGTGTATAGCTAATAGTCTCAAGGGTTACAATTATGAGTGCGAAGGTAAATGGAGAAGAATGAAGATGGTTCCAGAGTATCATATGTACCTCTGCTAAATGAAAGTGACTAAGCAGATAACTCTTAACTCAAAGTGAGAAGAGTAAGGTAGCTCAGGACTAATGTGAACTTAACAGCCTAATTGGGAAGAAACGATTGGTAGAATCGATTCATTAAGGGTTCACATTGACTCAATAAAGGATTTAGACAACATACAACAACATGCTTTTAGGGACACTTAGATAATACATAGATAAAGAATGTTATACATGCCCCATCATACGAATCTGTGCCTCCATGATCTTCTTGTGTGTTGAAATATGCAAAAATAAAAGAAATAAAGACAAATAGAAATAAAATATTTTTGGATTTTGACTTTTTCTGAAAAAGAAATAAAAACAGAGAGAAAATATTTTTAAAATTTTGAATTTTTGGATGATGCAAAATAGGGCGAACGTTCGTGCCAATTTGTGTCGGGAAAATTCGGAAACAAATTAAATGAGCGTTCGTGCCAATTCATGTAACAAGAATAAAACCAGAAAGATAAAAATATTTTTGGATTTTTGGAAATTTCAAACCAAATATTTTTGAAGATATTAAACAATATACATAAAGTACAAAAAGGATATCAGTATACCGAACCACAAGTGAACAGTGGTCAGCGAATATTTGCGAACGTTCACATTGATTCGTGTCAACAACTTTATTAAAGCGAAGGTGGTTTCGGTACAGATTCAACTTCCATCATTCCTAGGACTTGAAGAATTCTGTTGAAAGTTGTTTCAGGCAAGGCTTTTGTGAATATGTCATCCAACTGATCAGAGGATCTTGCAAAATGAATTTCAACATTGTCGTCTTCTACGTTATCCTTGATGAAATGGTACCTTAGTGCTATGTGTTTTGTCTTTGAGTGTTGCACTGGGTTGTGACAAATTTGAATTGCACTTTCAGAGTCATATTAAAGAGGGATTTGTTTCATACTTAAGCCATAGTCACGAAGCTGGCTTTGAATCCAAATAACCTGGGATGTGCACGAAGCTGCAGCTATGTATTCAGCCTCAACAGTTGATAATGATGATGGGTTTTGAGCATTCTAACACTTCCTAAGTGTACATGCAACCTTAATAACCTTGGATCTATGTTTGTCTAATTATCATGCAAAGTTGAATTCCAAGGTTATATTCCTATCTAGCATACATGGGGAACAATTTTAACTTAAAGTATAGATAGAATAACGTACCTTGTTGTTGTTTGTGTTCCTTGAAACCTTGTGAGCCTAGCACCCCAAGTGTGATGCCTCAAATGCTTCACATAACACCAAATGCTCTTGGAAGAACTTATGAGAGAACACACACTTATCAAAAATCGGCCAAGCCCTCTTGTTTCTTAGTTTGTAACCGATTTTGGTGGAGAATATGTTTCTTATATAGTGTTGACACATCTAGCGTTAAACCCTAATGTGTCATGACTCTTCATTTCCATGACCCATGGGTTTGTAACTCCCATGGAGCATCCATGGAGCATCCTATGGGTGGAACCCAACTTGATAATCCATGGAGCCTCTTAGCCCACTATACAAGATATGGATGATTTACATAATCAACCCATATATTTAATTAGTTATCTTTTGATCACATAATTAATTCTAAATTAATTCTTGATCAAACTAATCAAATAATATTATTAATATATTAGAACTTATAATATATTAATAATCTCCAAGTGTTATTTCTCTCATTTAGTCTATCCAATTGCATGGTGCCATGCAACCCAAATGGACCATGTCGGGTCGGGTCAAGTACATACCAGAAATAGTTATGGACTTAGACACCTTATCCAACAGTCTCCCACTTGGATAAGTCTAATAACTATTACTGCAAGTATGACTTCAGGAACCGATCGGCAATCGTAGCTCTTTACAAGGTTTCTCGGAACTGAGAAGATGATGGTACGCCATTTAAGATAAGTGATCATATAATCCTCTGTTCTAGATATCAGTCGGACAAATACACGGAACAACGTCTTACTTATTGTCCAACAGTTTGTTTCCCGATTTCCGATTTGTTTACAAAGAACTTCATTGAACACATCAATTTAGTTCTGACCGGGCCCGGTACATAGGTCAAAACAAAATCATCGAGGGGCCCAGATATCAGCTTCTAATCCAAGAAGGAACAGATAAACTTCGACTCATATGTTTGTTCTACCACTCATTGAATTACACACAAGAGCGCGATTTATAACATCGAGTTACCAATGCGTTTTTCGTACAATCAATGCATAACCAACTTGTAAGTAACAAATCATATCTCTAGGTTTGAAGACTTATACGATATTACCGTCTCACGATCACTCGAGATAGAATTCCATGAAGTGATTCCAGTGAGCGTGGGTTGAGTCCAATGCTCAGAACTTATGAGCACTCATGATTGTTGTAGCCTTGTCCAAGACCTCTACAACCAAACATGACAGTCTTGATTCATACCTACTTCCGACATATGACCGACTGTGGAGGTTTGAATAATATGTTATACCAAACAAAAATTATTCTGGAAGTCAAAACATGCAAAAGAAATATAGTAAACGATCGACAAGAGATAGCAACACTTTACTCATAAATAAAACACTTTTATTCATCATCAGATGTCAATTACACTTTACAAATTTCGAGGTTATCTAACTACTAAATCTAATATCATCCTTCAGCCCTATGCTCCGAGCATGCTGGAGATGCTTAACCCGAGTCAGTCCCTTCGTGAGGGGATCTGCCGGATTCTCATCTGATGATACCCTCTTTGCCACGAGGAGTCCTTCTTCGATCCGATGTCTGATGAAATGGTATTTTCTGTCGATGTGTCTGGATCTCCCGTGATCCCTTGGTTCCTTGGCTAAGGCAACAGCACTTTCACTATCACAGAAAATTTCCATTGGCTCTTTAATAGCTGGTACAACTCCAAGGTCTCCAATGAAGTTCCTCAGCCATAACGCCTCCTTTGCCGCCTCGCTAGCTGCAATATACTCTGATTCACAAGTAGAATCTGCCACTGTCTCTTGCTTGGAACTCTTCCAAGAAATTGCTCCTCCATTTAGGGTAAAGACC